TTCAATCTTTTCTCCATTTATCATGATGTTATTTATTGGTCCAGTGGTGAGGATTTTTGTTTTCTTTACATTGAGGTATAACCCATACCAAAGGAAGTGGTCCTTGATTTTCATCAGTAAGTATTTCAAGACCTCTTTGCTTCCAGCAGGCAAGGTTGTATCAATGATATCTCTAGTTCACATGCATAGGTATTATGATTTATAACACATACTGAGGGTCTCGGGGGTGGCAGTCAATCCACAATAAAACTGAACTCATTGTCACCAAGTCAATTCCATCTCACAGTGACCCTATAAGACAGAGTAGAACTGCCCCATAAGATTTCGAAGGTTGCTGATTTGGCACTGTAGGATAAGCGCAAAACTGCTAACCACAAGATTGGCAATTCAAATCTACCAGCCACTCCTCAGAAACACTATACAGGGTCACTGTGATTTGGAACCGACTGTATGGTGCTTAGCAACAACAGTCTATGGAATCAGACTACCTTTTGGTTAACAGCTGGAGACTTAACCACTTCGCTGTCACAGTTTCAATCCCTAACTATTACTGTGTGCTGTGGAGTCAGTTCCGACTCATAGTAACCCTGTATAGGGTTTCCGAGAGTATCTGGTGGGTTTTGAACTGCTGACCTTGAGGTTAGCAGGCCAGTGCTTATACTACAGTGCCACACCAATTCCTAATGTTGTTGTTAAATGCCATCAAGTTATTTCCAACTGATAGCAGCCCTATATAGGATTCCCAAGCAGCGGCTGATGAGTTTGAACCGCCAACCTTGTGGTTCAAACTGATTTTACAGTTCAGTGCTTATCCTGTAGCGCCACACCAGGGCTCCCGAGCTCATTGGTTATGTACCGTGGAATCGGTTCCGACTCATAGCAACCCGGTACAGGGTTTTCAAGGCTGCAAATCTTTATGGGAGCAGAAAGTGTCATCTTTCTCTCGCAGAACAGCTGGTAGTTGCTGACCTTGCAGTTCACAGTCCAACTTGTGTCCACCGTGCTACTGGAGCTCCTGCCAGAGTTTAGTAGCACCTGATAAATATTCAGTGTGATATATACACATTTAAAAAAAAAATCTCACCCCCTTAGACCAGGGCTTTGGATTAACACGGAGATAGCCCCACTTGTGGGTTTGCATCATTGTTGGCTGGGTTGTGGTTGCCTCGAAGCATTTGTTCTTTCCGCCAAGGTGTTTCAGCCCTCCTGGGACCTCTGAGCTGGTTAATAAGATTGGCATTTAAGAGCCATCGAACACCCAGCCCCGGCAACGCTTTAATTTGCTGCATCACAGCCTCCCCCTTTTGCAATAAATTTACTGTGAATAGACTAATTGCAAAATAACCCTAATTGGGTAGTTATCAATGAACAACTTCCTGTGGAACAAAACGGCTTACAATTAATAGCATTTAAGCCATAAACTATTCTTCTACAGAAAGCTAAGATGTAATTACACCCCATGTGGAGTCTGTGTTCCCTGTTTGGAAGCCATGACTCCCCGATTTCCCTCCGCTTGTGGGGACATTCCGCCTCAACGAAGTGGTCCTGTTATTTCTGTTCAGTGAGGAATCGGTATTGAGGAGAGGAGGGAAATCCAATGCACGTACATGGGCACATATACATATATGTATACATGTGCACTGTGTGTGTCATTTTGTTTAACTCACATCATCCAAACTTCAGCCAATATTATGCCGGAAGTTGAATATATAATTAAGGAAGCCTCATGGCTGAAAGGCTGACAGATTCAGAGAAAAGGATATAAAGATTCAATGCTGATTTTTCTAAAGGACTTCCACACCGCCTGCTCCTACATCCTTGCTGTCACCAGCCAGAGAAAAGGTAAGAGAATTCTCATCATCCATCAGGAGATCTGGGTTTGATTCCTGGCCTCCTGGCCGATGCACCTGTTTGCCAGCCACCACCTGTCTGTCAGTGGGGGCGCCTGGCTTGCTGGTTTGCTGAACAGGTGTCAGC